ACAGTTTTTACGTAATAGAACACAATTCAGCAAGATGGAGCAAACAGTGGGGAGAACAAGAAAGGAAAGGATCAGGAATTGGCTGTAGGGAAGGCCTGCCAAAACATCCATGTTTTTAATTGATTTTTAAAGATACCCAGCAAGGGAGCCATGCGAATCTCCGGAGGTAGGTTGTTCCAGAAGCGAGGAGCCACCGCCAAGAAGGCCCGATTTCCTTCTGGGCCTCCCTCGGCATCAGGCTCCTCAGCCTGACCTCCTGGCTCGCATGAGTGACACAGGTAGAACTTGGTTCTAATTAATTACTTAATTAGTTTGATTCAGCTTTAAGCCTTTTTTGACTACATTGAGTTCAGTATGAAGCCCCGAGAGCCCTAAGGATTTGATGTGGAAAAAGTGCAAGCTTTCACATAGATTTCACCATACACACACCTTTTGACCTTTTGCTGTTGTTATAAAAGATGGCCATTGCTCCTTGGAATCATGTATCTTTTCATGTAGAAATCATCACAAGAGGCAAGACCATGCTTGTCTTAAGTGTGTTTTGTTCTAGAGTTCTGAAGCTCTATTAAAAGAGAAAGGTATAGCGTGGTCTGCATAACACTAATTCTACAGGCAAAAAGGTCATTTTTGGTTCCTCAGTGGCACTGGAAAGGAATACAGAGGTGGAAATCAAGTGCTTTATTTTCTAAGTGTGATTGTTTTCACAGATGAGATCACAGTGAAATAAAATAATACTAAGGCTGTTCACAAGTGTTGCCACATTTAAATTTTTTTAAAAAAAATATTAAATCCACTACAATTATGGAAAAGTCTGTCTCCGTTGGCCTGATTCATCACAAGCTTTGTGTTTTGCATGAAGATGCTTTTTAATATTTATTTTAACATAAAATTTCATTTTATTATCAGTAAGTCACAGCCACTTTTAATGAAGAAATCCTTTACTTTTGGCATGGTTATTTTATAAAGCTAACTAGTTTAAGGTTGGTGGGTTTTGTTTTTTTTAAGTAACTGATTCTTAGAACAATTTGGAAAGAATCACTCTCAAACTGGAAATATGCAGGCAGGACTCTCAAGCTTCTTTAAACTCATACTGCCTTCATTTGTGTGGAAGATGAATAGAGAATAATACAGCCGTTTAACTTCTCTCTCTTTGTCATTTTGCTACTTTGTAAAACATTTTACAGGAAAAGCTGTGTCAAATAACTAATTGCATAATCCCCCTTCAAAACTCATCCTTTGTTCCAAATGTATGTTTTCAGAAAGATTACAACCATATCATATGAAGATTATTATTTGACATGGTTTAAAATTGCCACATCAAAAGCCGCTGAAGATTTTAAAGCCCCAGGTAAGCTGATGCTTTTGGTTTAGTAAAATTAAACATAGCAAGACTGATTTTGATCTTGTGCTAGGTTTGAATAAGTGAAGGACTCATTCTCATGACCTCATAAGTAAGTCAGACCATACAGACTTCCAAGGAGGGCTGCCTTCCACTGAGCAAGTTACTGAACAAAGGCTTCCTCATGACTCTGTGGCATTTCGGTAGGTCTTAGTGAAGGTATTATCATTCTGTGGCTTTGGTTTTTTCCCCCCTTATGAATGAACACCACCATCTTTCATTTCATTTCATTTTAAAAAGTTGGTTTTAAGTATCAGATGTGTGTCAGTCACTGATACTTTGCACCCAAATTCTTGAAAAGTTTTGTACATGACCGCTAGCAAAAACATTGTGTGTGGCATTGGTATACATAGTAGAATGACTGGAAATCAGCACAAATGAACTGAAAACTGTTAGTGCCGTGAGCTAAGAATGGTATGAACGTGGATGCTGCCACTTTCTTCCTCTTACCAGTAAGGGGAGAGGGTATAAATAGCACATAACACAATAAGTCATGATTGATATAAATAATGTTATTTCCACTTATTACATCAGATAAATAATATTATTTCCACTTATTACATCAGTAACTGGGCATGTTTCTATGTCTGGAATCAGACATCCGTCTACCAAATTGGAAACGTTCAGGTTTTTTTAGTGTAATAACTTTATTTCAGTGTTAACTAAATTTCCTCAAGATAGTGAACTAAATAAAGTTTTATTATAACCAGAAACATATATTAAAAATAGACTGGACTGGAACTGAAAGGACCTTGAAATTGGTGAGGGCTGAATGAGGCACTCTTTCAAACTCAAAATCAGACTTCAAAGGAATGTTGTGCTTAAGTCTGGAGGACACCATAGCACGATAGGTTGCATAGGCCCAAGGGTGACAGAACTCTTCCTACATGACACTCACACACTTTCATTAGTTAAAGATTTTCTGCTTCTAATCAGGGTTGTCTTGAATGTTCCTCCTGTAGAGAACAAACGCACACATACATTGCATTCTGAGTGCCTGATGTATAGTTTCCTCAAGGAAGAATTTCTGCTCAGTGTGAGATAGGATCTGGATCATGCTATTAACATGGCGGAACTCATCACTAAGCGCCCCTTCCACATGCAAAGCATGTGCTCCACTAATGAGCTATGGCCTCTCTCCAGAGACTTACACAAAGACAATAAAGAAGCAACCACAAAGTCAGCATATAAGATGATGCCAGGTGAATCTGTGCTGAACACATTAGGAATTTGAAACATTTTTTATAATTTGAATGTACAGTGTGAAAATTATCTTGAAGGAGATCTGAAGTAAATTGGCATGCAAACCTGTTGGAGATTAACCAGGCATCAATCATGCCTCTAAGGTGATGAACACTGTTTTTTAATTTCCACTAAACAATTCTCAGTGAAGAAATGTTGGCTGAAGAGAAGATAAATCTGGGAGCAATTCTGGAAGTATCCTAATATTCTCCTAATGTTATGCTTAGATATCCAGTGTTTCTTTTCCCATAAACGAGAAAGCTAATGTTGCACAGTAGTCAAAGTCAGATAAAAACCATAGAAGGTTACAACCCTGAAATTAACGCATATAGCAGTATATAGCTTGTGAGCATAGAGTTCAATATCTAAAGTACTAGGTTCACTGTCTTAAAGGTTTAATTGTCTATTGAAAATAATAATCAAAGCAGCTTACATGAAATGGATTATCAATAGAGATGGCCACTTCATATTCATATTAGAAAAAAAGCTCAGTGCCCCAGCTGGTGTCAGTTCCCATCCCCCACATCTGGAACCAGCCGACCCATTTACTAAGCTCCGCATGTCACAGAAGTCTACCTTCAGTGCTGGTGCACCAATCTGGGAAAGAACCAGGCTGGCCATCATCACCTCCCTCCACAGCCGACCACTCATTAGCTGAGTGGGGAGAATGCACCACGATGGTTGGCTGCTTAAGGAGGCGGCAATGGTTGGCCAGGCTCATTCCCAGATTGATGCACTGGCTCTGAAGGCGGATCCCTGCACTGCGCAGACCCGGCAAGTGGGCTAGCCAGTTCTGAGCATAGGAGATGGGAATCAGATCTACCTGCAGTGCCAGACTTTGTTTCTAATATAAATACGAAGCACCCACCTACAATTATCAATATTAAACTTTAAAAATAGCAAGATAGTACGATCCTATAAATGTAAAAATTAGGGAGACAAAATGGTTTGAAAACTGAATTAAAATATCAGCAATAAAATAATGAACCTTAGAAGGCACTAAAGAATAAAAACCCTCTGAGAGTAAATAGATTATTTCAATCTGTCTTCTGAACGATGAAAGGATTGATCCCTCCTTACTTACCAAGGAAGGCAATTCTACAAATACAGACCAAGCCCTGAGAAAGCCTATCCCCTGAATGCCAACCCTCTCTGTCCAGAGGCTCTCAGAGTAGGCCTCTTAAAAGCTACTTTGTATGCTAAGATTCTTACATATCCATGTCTATGGTATTTTCATTGTTTATTTGAAAAGGTTCTTTAATTTTGAGACCATGTGGAAAGATAAAAATAGTACTCAGGCTTATTGTTCTATTTATCAAAAATGTTGACAATCATTCTCATATGTCAGTTATATGCAATTATCCTTTCAGTGTTTGAAGACCCAGACTTCATAGGAAATCGCTATGAATGGATGGCAATGAATGTAGGCAAAGGAGAATGGGATGAAAATATGTAAGTATCTTATGATAATTACAAACATTCACACTTAGGAGCAGTGACTCAGGCAACATAGCAAATTGTAATGCTTTTATATTGAAACGTGTTACTTCTACGCTTGGAGAGTTAAGCTGCAGGGTGAAATCACACAGAGATTCAAATAAAATCAAATGAAATTCATGGTGCATAACGAAGTCTTAGTCTGCATCAAGTACAATTTACACAGGATGCATACATATTTAAATAGGCTTTACCTTTCTTTTTGATATTTAAGGGCCAGAATCTTATTGATGTTCACATAAAGTCTGTATAATTTGTTGTGGCTAATGATGGAGTGTGTTTTGGCCACATACCTGGTCACACATTTGATTGTATAACTGAGAAGTAGCCTATCACCTCATCAATTAATTGTACTTAGCCATAGGTAAAGGTTCCCCTTGACATTGAGTCCAGTCGTGTCTGACTCTAGAGAACGGTGCTCATCATTCTTGTAGAGCCAGCGTTTGTCCATAGACAGTTTCTGTAATCATGTGGCCAAAGCAACTAGACACAGAACATGGTTACCTTCCCACCATGGTGGTACCTATTTATATACATGTATTGGCATGCTTTTGAACTGCTAGGTTGGCAGGAGCTGGAACAAGTGACGGGAGCTCACTCCATCTCATGGATTCAATTTTACAAAGGCTGGTCTTCTGACCTCGCAGCACAGAGGCTTCTGCGGTTTAACCTGCAGCGCCACCACATCCCACGTACTTAGACATAGCATGTTACAGAAACTTTAGATGGACACCAATAGAATTCCAGACATGGTTTCATAGCTTTTCCAAAGAGTAAGTAGCATTTCCTGGCTATTAGAGGCAGGAGTTCTAAAAAGTTTTAAATTACGATTTATAGACTACACATATGTCTGGAATAGATTATAATATATTAGGATTTGAACACCAAGTCACTAACAGGTGTTTTCTGGATTGGAATATAAAAGAGGATTAAGCAAAGCCTTTTAGTCCTATCCCTAGTTCATGTGACCAGTTGGACTGTAAATGGAGGACGCTCTTAATTTTGAGGGGCAGTGGAACACTCACTGAAATGGAGCAAGATGGGCATCAAGATGAGTAATATTAAAAAATCAAAGTGGAAAGAAACAGCTGGCGAAGGTTAGAGAACTCAAAAGTTTGCACATTTTCAAATTGCCCAAATAAGGCTGTTGCCCACCTGTGGATTTTGACACTGTTCTCAAGAACCATAGCAGTTATATTTGTTTTGGTATGAAAATATTTTAAAATATTTAAGTTAAAGTGGAAAAGATAATTAAAATAAAAGTTTTAGTAGTATTTGAGAGAATTCTCTCGACAGTTTCTTGTACACATGGGAGTGATGTCTCTGTTCTAGATCTAAAGCCCTCTGTTCTTACTTGGTGTGTTTGCTTATGTGTGGTGGGGGATAAGCCTGAATTTCCAGGTGGCATTCTGCAGTTCACATAGGACATGCAGTAAGGCTCCTGATGCATAAATATTTTGAACCCGGATACAACAAGAAGGCTGATAATTGCTGCACTGATTTTGAACCGAGCTACCATTCTGCCTTCCTTCTTTGAATAACATCTTGATAATCCTAGATTCCAACCTGGATACCTCTCTCTATCTGCCCTACATCCATCGGTAAAATGTTCAGTAAAGATGATTAGAGACAGTATTCTTGCACTTGACATTTATGCAATACATATGGACCCTGGCTGTGGAAAGGCCTCCCTTTAGTTTAAAGCCAGTATTACAGTTAAGGTGCCAGGCTGTTCTGTTTTGCCCAGACATTTTAAGATGGACTATTCATCTTATTGTATTGCTGTCTTTCAGTTCTTTGATGGTTGTGTTTCATCAAATCATTGTAAATTTGTGTTTATATGACTATTAATAGTCATACTAGTTCTATACTACACTGCTATATAGAGAGATTAAGGATGGTTTATGAATTCTTTGAACAAATACATGAATAATAAATTAGCTATAGTGTAGCAGAATATAAATTCTAAATTTAAAAATGACGTTTTTAAGGTGCTACACTCAATATGCCAGAAAGTTTGGAAAACTCAGCAGTGGCCAGAGGATTGGAAAAGATCAGTCTACATCCCAATCCCAAAGAAGGGCAGTGCCAAAAAATGCTCCAACTACCATACAATTGCACTCATTTCACACGCTAGCAAGGTTAGGCTCAAAATCCTCCAAGGCAGGCTTCAGCAGTATGTGGACCGAGAACCCCCTGAAGTACAAGCTGGATTTCGAAGGGGCAGAGGAACTAGAGACAAAATTGCTAACATGCGCTGCATTATGGAGAAAGCCAGAGAGTTCCAGAAAAACTTCTACTTCTGCTTCATTGACTATGCAAAAACCTTTGACTATGTGGACCACAGCAAACTATGGCAAGTCCTTAAAGAAATGGGACTGCCTGATCACCTTATCTACCTCCTGAGAAATTTATATGTGGGACAGGAAGCAACAGTTAGAACTGCATATGGAACAACTGATTGGTTCAAAATCGGGAAAGGAGCGCAACAAGGCTGTATATTGTCCCCCTACTTATTTAACTTATATGCAGAATACAGTGGTGCCCTGCATGACGATGATAATCCATTCCATAGAAATCGCTGTCTTGTGAAAACATCGTCTTGCGGAAACCGTTCCCGTTTAATGCATTCCAATGGGGAAAAATCATCATTTTGCGAAGATCACCCATAGGGAAGCCATTTTGCGAAGCGCCGATCAATGCCAAAATCGTCGTCTTGCGAGAAACAGTTTGCGAGGCATGGACTGAAATACCATCCAGCGAAAATCACCCATTGGAAACACTCTAGCAATCACAAAACCTCATCATCATGTGGATTCGTCATTTTGCGAGATCATTGTCTAGCGGGGCACCACTGTACATCATGCAAAAGGCCGGACTGGAGGAATGCCAAGCCGGAATCAAGATTGCTGGAAGAAATATCAACAACCTCCGATACGCAGATGATGCCACTCTGATGGCAGAAAGTGAAGAGGAATTAAAGAATCTCTTAATGAGGGAGAAAGAGGAGAGTGCAAAAATGGTCTGAAGCTCAACATCAAAAAAACGAAGATCATGGCCACTGAAAAACCTAGACAGCATCTTAAAAAGCAGAGACATGACTTTGCGGACAATAGTCCACATAGTCAAAGCTATGGTTTTTCCAGTAGCGATGTATGGAAGTGAGAGCTGGACCATAAAGAAAGCTAGGCTAACCGCCGAAGAATTGATGCTTTTGAATTGTGGTGCTGGAGGAGACTCTTGAGAGTCCCCTGGACTGTAAGGAGAACAAACCTATTGAGCCTTCAACAAATCTTCAGAAACCAACATATGAAGTTGACTTGTTTGAAACTGGTTGTAGTTAGTGCTGCTAAACAAAAGCTGTCATATTAGATCTCATGACACCTGTCAAATCAGGTAATACAGATAGAACTTCAGCTCATCAAATTTCCGTAGAATTTCATACCTGAACCAACTGAGTTGCAAACAAAACCTATGTTTGCATTATGATGACCAATCACAAAACAAAGCAAGCTAATTTGCAGAATATTGGCGGTGACAAGGCTTGTGCTATGACAAGCAGATATCTTTCAGGAATTCCTGCTTCTTATGATCTGCTGTTTAACTGTACAGCTGATGTCCTCTTCCCAGTCACGCTGGAGATCAGTGAATCTGGGCTCAATCCTATTCTTATTGGTCTCATAAAACCATGATTTAATGAAATGTGGTCATTTTGTCTGTACAGAGAGGCTGAAGGAAGCTAAACATCTCAGTGGCTTAAGCATCTGGCTGCAGAGCCAAAAGTTGGAAGTTCAGTTCCCCACTGTGCCTCCTTGACAGGGGCTGGACTTGATGATCTATAGGATCCCTTCCAGCTCTGCAGTTCTAAGATTATATGATGAAGACTTGACTGCCAATGTATCACAGTGAATCTCAACATAGTAACTCGCTCACCTAGCCAATATTTATTTTATCATTTGGTTTTCTGAATTGGAGATAGGCATTAGGCAGAACAGATAGAGGGGGAAGGAGGATATTTTTCTCATCCTGACCATGATGAATTTGTGTGGAGACTTGCTTGAAGAATAGAAGAGAGGGCGTGTATACCTATATCTCTAACCTTAGAATAAATAGCCACTAAGTTTGAAAATAATGCTAAAGATTTTCCTCCATGAAACAATCTGTTTTATATTACTTGCCATATGTATTTAATTCACATTTAAACATACTAAAAACATTGCAACTAATTATTTCATATGTACATTCACATACATATATTGTGCAGAAAAGCACTTCACCTGGTAGTTCATCAAAACCCTGCAAAGAATTAATTTGGAGTTTAAGCTGAGTGAAGACAAACTGTGGACTAATTGAGTTTATTTTTCTTTCTGAAGAAACTCCTATACTTTAGGGTTAATTTTTCTTTGACACGACTTCCTTGTTTTATTTTCCTTAACAGAAGTCCTTTGTTTTCTGTATTTGATAATTGCTTCATTATGTAGTTCCACAGCATCCTACGTGACCCAGGAAAATATTCCAAAAAACAAGAAAAGTCCCTTTTGACCCATCTGTCCATGTTTACACATGGACTGTAGCAAGAACAGGCTGGGGTTGTTTGAGAAAGCAGCCTTTGCTGTGAATCAGTACAGCTTTTTCATGTTAATTTCATAAGAGCATGAAAGGAAATTGCTGTGATCCCACCCCCAAATCGAAAGTATCGTGAGTGAAATGACCAACTTTCACTGCCATCTGGTGGTAGGATTCAGTCAACTTAAAATATATGAAAGCTATATTGTTAAAATTACTTATTTTTACATGTTGCTTGATTTGGGCAGCAAAGGACTGATTCCCCACACATTCTGTATAATGATAAAGGTTGTATCAATTCATGTTATTTGGTTTTGCTTGTTCCCAGAAGGGTTTGCTCTGCCTATGAAGCAGGGTAAGGCCACCATGGTGGTGAGGGGAGACTGGAT